AATCCCGTGTTGTCCTGCAGTAATCTGCCGAAAGCCGCCATATGCTGGGCCCATGCCGCCATCTTGTTTGCTGCCATCTTTAGTGAGCTGGATGTCTCTTGTAGGCTCTAGAAGCCGGCCCCTGAAGACGTCATTCTGCATGACCCCACAGGCCCCTGGGATGCATTATGTGGGTACCACAGGAGACTTTGCGGGGCCAAAGGTCCACTTTAAGGTGTGTCTGGAACAGGAGCGAGGACATGCTTCCTTGTCATTGGCTGGCAAAAAGGAAGGGGAGGAGTTCCTATGACACTCGGCCCCACTCATGTCTTGGCTCCTTTTCTGCCTTCCACCCCTGGGACCAGAGGAACTAGTGAAAGCTGGTTAAAAAAATGGAGAGGACCCCTGGAATGGTGCTCAGCCCACTGACTGTTGGGTGGGGGGTCCCTCCTGTATGGCACTGACTGTTGGGTGGGGGGTCCCTCCTGTATGGCACTGACTGTTGGGTGGGGGGGTCCCTCCTGTATGGCACTGACTGTTGGGTGGGGGGTCCCTCCTGTATGGCACTGACTGTTGGGTGGGGGGTCCCTCCTGTATGGCACTGACTGTTGGGTGGGGGGTCCCTCCTGTATGGCACTGACTGTTGGGTGGGGGGTCCCTCCTGTATGGCACTACCTTGGCTGCTCCACAGTGATAGGCCAGGGCTGAGGCTGGAGAACAATCCAAGGTGGACACATCTGGGGGGGGTTCCTCCACTTGGCAGGGCCGGCACATTCCCGCTGGGCTCAATGTCCCCTCCGATGGAGACTCCAGGTCCAGACAGTCCACCAGCAGCTGTTGATTGAAGAATTCGGGAAGAGGAAGTCTTGATATCAGCAGAACCGCAAGAAAACATTCCTCCTCCGAGGACACCAACATTAAAGTATGCTGCTCATGGGCGGGGTTACAACTCATAGGCGGGGCTATAGTTTTATTACATGCCGCAGCGCAATCCTCCTGTAGGCGACAGCATAACCATCCGTTTAGGAATCCAATGTCCTCCAATGGATGAGGGAGAAATTCACAGCCTCCCCCGGCCTGAGCCAAGAGCAGAGCGCCCCCCACAGGACTGAGAGCAGAAAGGAGACGACAACACCGACTGAAATTAATAAAATAGACCTTTATATATTATAATCGCAGAACTTCGAGGAACATTCCACATCTACTCCAATCAGAAAGGAGAGAAAATCGGACTATGACAGTGTGAGGGCACCGCCCATGTCAGGAGTGCCTGGAGCTGCAGAGCTGGGAAGGAGAGAGACCAGTGAGACTTGCTGGTCAAAGAGTGATAGTCTGCGGTGCGACTGCTGCTCAGGGAATGAGTGTAGCTGAGAGAATTGTGAATATAATATGAAGTCAGGCTGCTGGTCAGAGAGCAACAGTAACTAGGGACCGTCTGCGGTGCAACTGCTGGTCAGAGAGAGTGACAGTAACTAGGGACCGTCTGTGGGGCAACTGCTGGTCAGAGAGCGACAGTAACTAGGGACCGTCTGTGGGGGCAACTGCTGGTCAGAGAGTGACAGTAACTAGGGACCGTCTGCGGTGCAACTGCTGGTCAGAGAGTGACAGTAACTAGGGACCGTCTGTGGGGCAACTGCTGGTCAGAGAGCGACAGTAACTAGGGACCGTCTGTGGGGCAACTGCTGGTCAGAGAGTGACAGTAACTAGGGACCGTCTGCGGGGCAACTGCTGGTCAGAGAGCGACAGTAACTAGGGACCGTCTGCGGTGCAACTGCTGGTCAGAGAGCGACAGTAACTAGGGACTGTCTGCGGTGCAACTGCTGGTCAGAGAGCGACAGTAACTAGGGACTGTCTGCGGTGCAACTGCTGGTCAGAGAGCGACAGTAACTAGGGACCGTCTGCGGTGCAACTGCTGGTCAGAGAGCGACAGTAACTAGGGACCGTCTGCGGTGCAACTGCTGGTCAGAGAGCGACAGTAACTAGGGACCGTCTGCGGTGCAACTGCTGGTCAGAGAGCGACAGTAACTAGGGACCGTCTGCGGTGCAACTGCTGGTCAGAGAGCGACAGTAACTAGGGACCGTCTGCGGTGCAACTGCTGGTCAGAGAGCGACAGTAACTAGGGACCGTCTGCGGTGCAACTGCTGGTCAGAGAGCGACAGTAACTAGGGACCGTCTGCGGTGCAACTGCTGGTCAGAGAGCGACAGTAACTAGGGACCGTCTGCGGTGCAACTGCTGGTCAGAGAGCGACAGTAACTAGGGACCGTCTGCGGTGCAACTGCTGGTCAGAGAGCGACAGTAACTAGGGACCGTCTGCGGTGCAACTGCTGGTCAGAGAGCGACAGTAACTAGGGCCGTGGAAGTGTTACCAAAGCACAGATGTCCTCGGTGAGACTGCTGGTCAGGGAACTACTGTAGCTGAGAGCCTTGGACATGTGAACATGACATGAAATCAGACTGCTGGTCAGAGAGTGGTAACACTTCCACGGCCCTAGCTACTGTCACTCTCTGACCAGCAGTCTAACTTCATGTCATGTTCACATGTCTAAGGCTCTCGGCTAGTCATTCCCTGACCAGCAGTCTGACTCCAAACATCTGTGCTTTGGTAATACTTCAATGGTCCCTAGTTACTGTCACTCTCTGACCAGCAGCCTGACTTCATAGTATATTCACAATTTTGAGACTTTCAGCTACACTCATTCCCTGACCAGCAGTCTGACTCCAAACATCTGTGCTTTGGTAACACTTCCACAGCCCTAGTTACTGTCAAAGCACAGATGTTTGGTGTCAGACTGCTGGTCAGGGAATGAGTGTAGCTGAAAGTCTCAAAATTGTGAATATACTATGAAGTCAGGCTGCTGGTCAGAGAGTGACAGTAACTAGGGACCATTGAAGTATTACCAAAGCACAGAAGTCCTCGGTGAGACTGCTGGTCAGGGAATTACTGTAGCTGAGAGCCTCAGACATGTGAACATGACGAAGTCAGGCTGCTGGTCAGAGAGTGACAGTAACTAGGGCCATGGAAGTGTTACCAAAGCACAGATGTTTGGAGTCAGACTGCTGGTCAGGGAATGACTGTAGGTAAGAGACTTGTACATGTGAACATATGAAGTCAGACTGCTGGTCAGGGAATGACTGTAGGTAAGAGACTTGTACATGTGAACATATGAAGTCAGACTGCTGGTCAGGGAATGAGTGTAGCCGAGAGACTTGTACATGTGAACATATGAAGTCAGACTGCTGGTCAGGGAATGACTGTAGGTAAGAGACTTGTACATGTGAACATATGAAGTCAGACTGCTGGTCAGGGAATGACTGTAGGTAAGAGACTTGTACATGTGAACATATGAAGTCAGACTGCTGGTCAGGAAACGTACTTAGCTGAGAGCCTCAGGGGAAGATGTGAACTTGTACATGTGACATTAAGTCAGACTGCTGGTCAGGGAATGACAGTAAGAGTGACAGTAACTAGGGCCCTCAGCCATGTTACCGAAATCACAGATGTTTGAAGTTAGACTGCTGGTCAGGGAAATGATTACAGTTGAGGGACCTAAGATATGTGAACACGACATGGAGTCAGACTGCTGGTCAGAGAGTGACAGTAACTAGGGCCCTCAGCCATGTTACCAAATCACAGATGTTTGAGGTTAGACTGCTGGTCAGGGAATGATTACAGTTGGGGACCTAAGATATGTGAACACGACATGGAGTCAGACTGCTGGTCAGAGAGTGACTGTAACTAGAGTCCACGTCACTGTTACCAAAGCAGGGATGTCAGAGTAGCTGCGTTTGGACACCTGAATGCTGTGACCACAGCACAGATGTCTGGCGTTAGACTAAAGGTCAAGGACTGACAGTTGCTGAAGATGTCAGCAGTGTGAATACCACAAGAAGTCAGACTGCTGGTCAGGGAGTGACTAACTTAGGACCTTGGAAGTGTTACCAAAGCACAGATGTCAGGGAGAGACTTCCAGTCTGAGAGTGACTATATCTGGGCAGCATGGTACTGTAACCAAAGCAGAGACTTCCAGGGTTAGAATGCTGGTCAGGGAATGACGGTAGTCAAGGACTACATGGAGTCAGACTGCTGGTCAGAGAGTGACAGTAGCTGGGACACATGGCCTAGTGGTGAGTGTTGTACCTGGAGGAGCCCAGTGACACCATACACATCATTCTCTTTGCTGGTCCCCTGGTGCTGCACAGTTTTGGATTAAAGGGCCCGTCTGTAATGCTGTCAGGGCCACGCTGTGCTCTTTTGGAAAAAGCGGAGATTACTGATTACATTTATAAAAAATATTTCTTTATCTTGATTGTCAGAGCAGAAATTAGCATAGCCACGCCTTCTCTTCCTGTGCTAGGTACTTTGACCACCAATCAGGGTGAAGCACACCGGAGGAGGCGTGGCCATCATACGATTTGCTGCTGCAATACAGCCCTAATGAGCGGCTGAGATGATGTAATCATTGTACATGTGAAGGAAATGTTCAGCCTGTACACCATTATCCCTGGATGGATAAGTGGCCCCGAAGTCAATCTGGCGATGGTCCCGGTGACAACACATTACCCTCCCTGGACGGAGTTCTGCTCCAAGCTGACCATCACAGAGAGCGAAGAGTTCGGGTTCAGCTCCATGTGACCGGAGATGGGAGGAGCCACCAATCCGATCACAGCTGCTACATTATACAAACACATCTGATTTGCTGTCGCACAGACCTGCACACCCCTCCCCCGTACAAGATGGAGACAAGTCAGACGACATGTATTTTGCTCAGCCCAGTCGGTTTGCTGGTGATTGACCCCCAATTCAGCTGGTGCAGCTCCTCGGGGGAGCCCCCTAAAAAAATCTCCCCCCCACTGCCCCGCCCCAGAGTTTCCATGAAGACATTAAATTATACTCAACACCTTCAATTAAAAAAACAGATCATAAAAAGGCGGAAGTTCCGGGGTACCGCCCACCGCCTCCGCCCACTTCTCTGCCGACACACTCCATCCAATAAAGGGGGAGTTAGAGGTTGGTCCCGGTCACATGACCCCACAGCAAGGTCTCTTCCCTGACGGCGTGCTTTCCTCCGCAGGAGCGATGAGTTTCAGCAATGGCGGCTCTCCGCTGGAGGGAGTGTAATAGACGGGATTGGGCGGAGCCAGCTCAGTAGAGTCTTGCGCTTGGGCGGGGTTCTCGGTGCTGGGCAGGGGTGGAGCCTGTCGCTGTAGCTTGGCCGCCGCCCGCTCCGTTTCAGCTCGGCGAGTGTGGTGGGAGCGTTCGTGGCTCAGGTCCTGGCAAAGCTCCGCCTGCGTGGCCAACTGGTAAGACACGCTGCGGTCCAGGCGCTTGGAGAAGGTGTGTCTGGGGGCGGAGCGAACGCTGCCATTCCTCTGCGACACCGGAACAGAATTCACCCGGGTCTCTGCCGCCGCCACACCGCCATCTTCTGCCTCCCCCCCCCCCCGGCCTCTGGGGGTCCGACTCCATCTGCGGGGCTGGGAGACACAACAGGACATGGGATCAGAGGATGGAAATGAGTGTTCCCCCCATGTGTGATATTCATTGTGGGGATTCCCCCCCCCCCCCGGGGACACCCTCCCTCCCCACCTCTGGGGTCCGACCCATCTGCGGGGGCTGGGAGACACAACAGGACATGGGATCAGAGGATGGAAATGAGTGTTCCCCCTGTGTGATATTCATTGTGGGTGATAACCCCTCCCCCGGGGACACCCCCCTCCCTCCCTGACCTCTGGGGTCCGACTCAATCTGTGGGGGCTGGGAGACACAAACAGACATGGGATCAGAGGATGGAGATGAGTGTTCCCCCTGTGTGATATTCATTGTGGGGATTCCCCCCTCCCCCCTCCCCCCCCCCCCCCCGGGGGACACCCTCCCTCCCTGAACTCTGGGGGTCCGACTCCATCTGTGGGGCTGGGAGACACAACAGGACACGGGATCAGAGGATGGAAATGAGTGTTCCCCCCGTGTGATATTGTGTGGGATACCCCCCCCCCCCGGGGACACCCCCCTCGCTCCTTGGCCTCTGGGGGTCCGACTCCATCTGTGGGGGCTGGGAGACACAAACAGGACATGGGATCAGAGGATGGAAATGAGTGTTTCCCCCTGTGTGATATTCATTGTGGGGATTCCCCCCCTCCCCCCCTCCCCCCCCCCCCCCGGGGGACACCCTCCCTCCCTGAACTCTGGGGGTCCGACTCCATCTGTGGGGGCTGGGAGACACAACAGGACACGGGATCAGAGGATGGAAATGAGTGTTCCCCCCGTGTGATATTCATTGTGGGGATACCCCCCCCCCCCCCCGGGACACCCCCCCTCGCTCCTTGGCCTCTGGGGGTCCGACTCCATCTGTGGGGGCTGGGAGACACAAACAGGACATGGGATCAGAGGATGGAAATGAGTGTTCCCCCTGTGTGATATTCATTGTGGGGATTTCCCCCCCCCCGGGGACACCCCCTGACCATCTGTGGGGGCTGGGAGACACAAACCAGACATGGGATCAGAGGATGGAGATGATGTTCCCCCCATGTGATATTCATTGTGGGGATTCCCCCCCCCCGGGGACACCCTCCCTCCCGACCTCTGGGGTCCGACTCCATCTGCGGGGGCTGGGGGACACAAACAAGACATGGGATCAGAGGATGGAGATGATGAATGTTCCCTCCGTGTGATAGTCATTGGGGGGATACCACTGCAGGCTGCCGGCATCAGAGAGGTGCACGAGCAACTGCCAATCCGAGGATAGCAGTATAATACCCCAAAAGTCCAGCGAGAGGCACTATAACCGTGTACACCCCCCCCACCACTACATCCGGGTACATCCCCCCCCCCCCCCCCCCCCACCACTACATCCAGGTACATCCCCCCACCACTATATCCGGGTACATCACCCCCCCCCCCACCACTACATCCGGGTACATCCCCCCCCCCCCCACCACTACATCCAGGTACATCCCCCCCCCCCACCACTACATCCAGGTACATCCCCCCCACCACTACATCCGGGTACATCTCCCCCCCACCACTACATCCGGGTACATCCCCCCACCACTACATCCGGGTACATCCCCCCACCACTACATCCGGGTACATCCCCCCCCCCCCCCACCACTACATCCGGGTACATCCCCCCACACCACTATATCCGGGTACAAACCCCCCAGAGCGGCACTACATCCGGGTATTTGATGCCGAGTTGCAGTACCGCCTCTGGCTGTAGGAGGAGACAGACTCCTCCACTCACCGGTTGCTTGGGTTCTGTGCTGGTGGATTTGTCGTCCTCTTCGTCCTGAAGTTCGATCTCGCTCTCCCGGGCCCCCCTCTGCTGCCACACCATGGCCTCCTTCTGGTGTCCTCCCGCCGGTACAGATTGGTGCGTTCCGTGACGCTCACCCTGCGTACCACCTTCCTGCAGACAGAACAGAGCCGACCAATCATCATCTCCCGCAGAACAGGACCATCCCCCCCGCTGTGTGAACTGCCACAGAAATGAGATCCTCCCCCCCCCCCCCCCCCCCCCAAAATGAGATCCCCCCCCCCCCCCCCGCTGTGTGAACTGCCACAGAAATGAGATCTCCCCCCCCCCACAGAAATGAGATCCCCTCCCCCCCCCCCCCGCTGTGTGAACTGCCACATAAATGAGGATTCCCCCCCCCTCAGAAATGATCCCCTCCTAACCCCCTCCACAGAAATTAGATCCCCCCCCTCAGAAATAAGTATCCCCCTCCCAACCCCCCTACAGAAATGAGGATCCCCCTCCACAGAAATGAGATCTCCCCTCCACAGAAATGAGTATTCCCCCCCCCTAGGGATGAAGCTCTCTCCCCCCACCTCAGAAATAAGGATTCCCCCCCCCCCAGGGATAACACTCTCTCCCCCCACCCCAGAAATGAGGATCCCCCTCCCAACCCCCTCCACAGAAATTAGATCTCCCCCCCCCACAGAAATGAGATCCCCCCACAGAAATGAGTATCCCCCCCTAGGGATGAAGCTCTCTCCCCCCACCTCAGAAATAAGGATTCCCCCCCCCCCCAGGATAACACTCTCTCCCCCACCCCAGCAAAATGAGCATCCCCCTCCCAACCCCCCCCCCACACACACACACACAGAAATGAGGATCCCCCTCCACAGAAATGAGATCCCCCCTCCACAGAAATGAGTATCCCCCCCTAGGGATGAAGCTCTCTCCCCCCCACCTCAGAAATAAGGATTCCCCCCCCCAGGGATAACACTCTCTCCCCCCACCCCAGAAATGAGCATACCCCCCCCTCCCAACCCCCCCCACACACACACAGAAATGAGGATCCCCCTCCACAGAAATGAGATCTCCTCCTCCCACCCCTCTCCACAGAAATAAGGATCCCCCCCCCCCAGGGATAAAGCTCTCTCTCCCCCCCACCTCCATAAACAAGGATCCTTTGCACTGATGGGGGGTCACTTATTAGCCCCGTGTGTCTCTCCGGAACTAGTCCCCATTTACTACTAGAGTCTCTCTGAATCCGCCATCTTTCCTCTCACCAATGAGAGTCCCTCAGCGACCAGTACAGGCCTTCTTATTGGACACACAAGTGGTAGTGGGCAGGGCTTGGACCCCAGTAATAGGTGGGACTACTTCCAGAGGGGCGCACAGCAGGGTGGACGTATAACAATCTGGAACCAGAACTTCTCTTTTAGAGGTGAAACTCGTCTGTCTGATTCAGGAACCTCTCGGGGTGGATGAGGAGTCACAGAGGGGGAGGGTCTTCCCAATTCTGGGGAAGATGATGCTGCAGGCTCCCTCCAGTGAAGTGGGGAGGATTGGAGTTCAGGGTGGCAGAGGTCATGTGATCACTGGAGGGAGCAGCATTTTCCCCAGGAGGAAGTATTTCTGGACCATCTATGACTCTCTATTCCTCTAACCCACCAAGACTGTTAGCATCCCCCAAGGACACCAAACTCCCGCTCACTCACCCCCGGCTGCCCGCACTCGACGTTCTCCTCTGGAGGGCGCTCTTGTGCTTGTCTTGGGATTTCTTGATGGCGTCATGTTTGTGTTTCAGCTCCATCAGTTTGTTCCGAACGTCTTCATCTCCGCACGTCTGAGGAATGAAGAGAGGAGTCTCGGTGAAGACCATTGGCTGGGTGTCAGGAGGTTATGAGTTCAGACATGGGTGGAGAACATCACACTTAAGATGGGCGGAGTACCAGAGAGAATTATGGGGGATGGGTAGAGCCAGTGAATCTCAATGGAGGAGATGAATGGAGGAGAATGACAAAGAGATCACCAGTTCAGTATTGATGTTGGGCAATCAGAATCAGGGCCAGTTCATCATTTCCATACACTCACCCCCCCCCCCCATATGGAAGTCTGACAGCCAAGATCTGACCTATGGTGAAGATATATATGGCCCCCCCCCCCAAGTGGATGGAGGAAACCATCCCGACAGCCAAGATCTCACCTATGGTGAATCTATAATATGGCACCCCCTTCCCTACAAGTGGATTTTGGTGCATATACAAATTCTCAGGAAACCATCCCAGGAGGTCACCACACTGAAAATCAAATCATGATATCAGAAATCTAAAAGACCCCAAATTTCCAGTCACAGTCCCACAGAGAGACCCAAATTCCTGGTCATCGATGTCCCACAGCGAGACCCAAATTCCTGGTCATCGATGTCCCACAGAGAGACCCAAATTCCTGGTCATCGATGTCCCACAGCGAGACCCAAATTCCAGGTCATCGATGTCCCACAGAGAGACCCCAAATTCCTGGTCATCGATGTCCCACAGAGAGACCCCAAATTCCTGGTCATCGATGTCCCACAGAGAGACCCCAAATTCCTGGTCATCGATGTCCCACAGAGAGACCCAAATTCCAGGTCATCGATGTCCCACAGAGAGACCCAAATTCCAGGTCATCGATGTCCCACAGAGAGACCCAAATTCCTGGTCATCGATGTCCCACAGAGAGACCCAAATTCCAGGTCATCGATGTCCCACAGCGAGACCCAAATTCCAGGTCATCGATGTCCCACAGCGAGACCCAAATTCCAGGTCATCGATGTCCCACAGAGAGACCCAAATTCCAGGTCATCGATGTCCCACAGAGAGACCCAAATTCCAGGTCATCGATGTCCCACAGAGAGACCCAAATTCCAGGTCATCGATGTCCCACAGAGAGACCCCAAATTCCTGGTCATCGATGTCCCACCCCAAATTCCAGGTCATCGATGTCCCACAGAGAGACCCAAATTCCAGGTCATCGATGTCCCACAGAGAGACCCCAAATTCCTGGTCATCGATGTCCCACAGAGAGACCCCAAATTCCTGGTCATCGATGTCCCACAGAGAGACCCCAAATTCCTGGTCATCGATGTCCCACAGAGAGACCCAAATTCCTGGTCATCGATGTCCCACAGAGAGACCCAAATTCCTGGTCATCGATGTCCCACAGAGAGACCCAAATTCCAGGTCATCGATGTCCCACAGAGAGACCCAAATTCCAGGTCATCGATGTCCCACAGAGAGACCCAAATTCCAGGTCATCGATGTCCCACAGAGAGACCCAAATTCCAGGTCATCGATGTCCCACAGAAAGCCCAAATTCCAGGTAACTGATGTCCCACAGAGAGCCCAAATTCCAGGTAATTGATGTCCCACTGAAAGCCCCAAATTCCAGGTCACCAATGTCCCACAGAAAACCCCACATTCAAGGTAACATGACAGTTCTGAGGAGAGCCACAGATTACAGGTCACAGATGCCCCACAGAGAAACCCATGGAGTGTTTTTTAAATTCAAGGTCTCAAATGTCCCATGGCGAGACCCCAACTCCAGGTCCCAGATGTCCCACGGACAGACCCAAATTCCTGCCATCAATATATAGAACAAAAAGACCCAAATCTCTCTGACCAATATCTCACGAAGATCTTCAAATTCCTGTCATCACTATAAAATAGAGAGATGCAATTCTTGGTCACCAATGCTCCACAGAAAGCCCCGAATTTCAGGTCACAATTGTCCCATGGAAACTAACCCTAATGCCACCAATAGGCAGTGCCGGAGGAATCCAGGGACCAACCCAGACCAGAAATCCTACACATGGCCCTAGGGGGTCTTGGAGACTTCTTTAATATCTGTCTGTAGAAAAATGTGTACATTTCTGTTTTCAGTTCTGAAATTTTGGCTCCATAAATGAGGGAATCCCTGGAAACCGAATCCCAGCATGCTCTACACACATGGTAGGTAACTATTAGTCCTGCCAGTCCCACCCAGAACCGTGTCCTCCGGGAAGGTAGACTCTGTCTCCAATGTGTTCTATTCCTTCAGTGATCCCTATGCCGAGTGCCATGCCCAGAATTCCTCACCACAAGGAGAAGGAGGATCTGATTGGCCCCTTTGTAGGAGTTCTATCAGGATAGATCTCAGGAGGCCTCATACTACAGCACTGTGTGTGGCTATAACTGCATTGTGTGTAATGGCCGACTCATGGTCTGAAGGTCCAGACTTCGAGGACAACAGTCTACAGACTGACAACTGGGAATATGAACCCTTTATACACACCTAGTGGCGTCTCGTCCAGCAAGGACTTGGAATTCAGGTCGGCGCCTTGAGCGACAAGCAGCTCCACCAGCTGGATCTGGAAGACAGATTGGTACATACACAGAGATCTGAAGACAGACATACGTTGTGTACATCGAGTGGGAGAGATAGAGGTGCCCATATAATTCTCACCTGTCCCCCAGCAGGCAGCGGCGTGGAGCGGTTCCCACCCATCGCAGTCCCTGGCGTTCACCGCGGCTTTATGATCCAGGAGCAGCTCGGCAGTGTCCAGGTAACCATTGGCTGCTGCGATGTGAAGCTGAAGAAGACAAGGAGAACCAGTTCAGTACAGTGGGCGGGGTCCATGACAACCAATCATCACATCACACCTTTCACCATTTGGAATTGTAAGAACAGGTAAATGCCGAGGTTTGGGGTTGGTCGGGATTCTGTGCCAGGTGGATGGTACTCTACACCAAGGATGGCCATACAGTGCTGTGAAAAAGTATTTGCCCCCTTCCTGATTTTTTTTGCCTATTGGTCACCCTTCAGTGATTCTGATCACCAAACAAATGTTAATTCATGAAGGTCACGCCACAGCACCTCCATCGGATTGAAGTCCCGACTTTGGCTAGGCCACTTCAAAACCTTCATTTTGTTTTTTGAGTCACTCAGAGGTGGACTGTCTGGTGTGTTTCGGATGATTGTCCATTGTGGAGCACAACCCAAGTGTGCTGGAGGAACTGATGGCCCAACATTCTCCTTCAGGATTTTCTGGTACAACGCAGAATTCATAGTTTCCATCAACGATGCCATCAAGGTCCTGAACCTAGACCATCACACTACCACCACCATGTCTCACAGTTGGAATGATGTTCTTTTTATGAAATGCCATGTTAGTTTTACACCAGAGGTAACGGGGACGCAAACTTCCCAAAACGTTCAACTTTTGTCTCATCAGTCCACAGAATATTCGCCCAAAAGTCTTGGGGATAATCCAGATGTTTTTTGGCAAATGTGAGAAGAGCCTTTGTGTTCTTTGGTCAGCGGTGGCTCTGGCCTTGGACCTCTCCCATGGCGGCCACGTTTGCCCGGTCTTTCTTATTGTTGAATCCTGAACACCGACCTTACCTGAGGCAAGTGAGGCCTGCAGTTCTTTAGATGATGTTCCGGGTTCTTTTATGGCCTCCAGGATGAGTCGTCGGGCTCCTGGGAGTCATTTTGGTCGGCCGGCCACTCCTGGGAAGGTTCACCACTGGTCCACGTTTTCTCTATTTGTGGATAACGGCTCTCACGTGATTCGCTGGAGTCCCAAAGCCTTAGAAATGGCTTCGTAACCCTTTCCAGACTGATACATGGCAAGGACTGTGTTTCCCACCTGTTCATGAACCCCCTTTAGATCGCGGCATGACGTGGTGCTTTTTAAGATCTCTTAGCGCGCTTCACTTTGTCAGTTTCTATTTAAGTGATTCTCTTGATTCCACAGGTCTGGCAGTAATCAGGCCTGGGTCTGGCAACTGAAATTTAAATCAGCTTTCCATAAAATGTGGCTAATCACAGTTCATTAGTGGTTTTGCAGGGGGGGGGCAATTACTTTTTCACACAGGGCCAGGCAGGTTGTTTTCCTTAATAAATGGAATCGTCATCTGAAAACGGCATTTTTATTTCCTCGGGTTATCTTTGTGCAATAACATTTGTTTGATGATCGAAGTGACAAATACACAACAAACAAAAAAAAAAAATCAGGAAGGGGGCAAATACTTTTTCACAGCACTGTACATGTTGAGACTTCACACATTTAACCGATCTACAGAAGTCTCCTCCATTCATGAGAAATCTCCCCCGCCAACCATCGGAATCTGACAAAACACCGCCCCCAGGATCTGGGCATGGAAGCGGCCTGGTCCTTGGCTTTCCTCTGCCACCAGCAGCTTCCCGGATCATGGTATCTAGAACTGATCAGGAGAGAGGGTTCCCCTTAAAGGTCATGTGATCAAATGCTTCTTACATGCAGGTTCCGGGGTTCAGTACTTAACGTGCCCCACACATGACCAGAGGCCCATGTGAGAGATGAGACGGAAGCCCCTAGAACGTCACAACTGAAACTTACCACCATCTGCTCCACAGGACCAACCTCAGCCGTGGTCAGATCTCAAGGGATGGTGACCAGTCAGCCACGGCAGGGCAAAGTCACCGCCAGGATGGTGGGGGGGGGGGGGGGGTAGGGCTCTCCAGAACAGTATTCTACAGAGGCTTTCCATCAGTAGGATCCTTAAAGACACCATTTGTAGGCCAGACCGGGCCCAGAACAGCCCATTTCTAGGCCAGACCGGGCCCAGAACAGCCCATTTCTAGGGCAGAAACGGGCCAGAACAGGGGCTAGACCAGAACAGCCCATTTCTATGGGACCCAGAACAGCCCATTTCTTAGGGCAGACCGGGCCCAGAACAGCCCATTTCTAGGGCAGAACGGGCCCAGAACAGCCCATTTCTAGGGCAGAACCGGGCCCAGAACAGCCCATTTCTAGGCAGACCGGGCCCAGAACAGCCCATTTCTAGACCAGACGGGCCCAGAACAGCCCATTTCTAGACCAGACCGGGCCCAGAACAGCCCATTTCTAGACCAGACCGGGGCCAGAACAGCCCATTTCTAGACCAGACCGGGCCCAGAACAGCAGACACCCATTTCTAGACAGACCGGGCCCCGAACAGATTTCCGGGCCCAGAACAGCCCATTTCTCAGGGACCAGGACGGGGCCAGAACAGCCCATTTTTTCAGACCGGGCCCAGGGGTCCCCCAGAACAGCCCATTTCCTAGACCAGAACAGCCCTCCGGGGAACAGCCCATTTCTAGGGCAGACCCCAGAACAGCCCATTTTGGCAGACCGGGCCCAGAGCCCATTTCTAGGGCCGGGCCCAGAACAGCCCATTTTCTAGACCAGACCGGGCCCAGAACAGCCCATTTCTAGACCTAGGGCCCCAGAACGGGCCCAGAACATGACAGACCGGGCCCAGAACAGCCCATTTCTAGGGCAGGGCAGACCGGGCCAGAACAGCCCCTTTCTAGCTTCAGAAAAGTCCCCCATATTTATTCTATGGGGGGGCCCAGAACACCGGCGCATTTCTAGGGAGAGACCCAGACTTCAATTATTCATGGGGGGGGGGGGACTCTGGAGGAACGCGGAACGGTGACTCCATCACCTTCTATACAAAGGTGCAGGACCGGGGACTGTCCCAATATAAATGATCAGCCCGGGAGCCCTTCTGTGAATTGGGGGTCCCCGTGGGCTGGAAAGCCCTCCTGGCTGCCTAGGGTCATGTCATGACCGGGCCCAGACAGCCCATCTTCACCAGAACCGGGCCCATCCAGAACAGCCCATTTCTAGACCAGACCGGGCCCAGACACCCCATGTTTCTAGGGCAGACGCGGCCCAGAAGCCGGGAGCCACCCAACAGGAAGTCCGGTGCCCAGAAACTCTGGAGCCCATTTCTAGACTGCTCTGTACTCTGGAGACCTGCGGGGCGTGACCAGACCGGCACACAACACAGGGACGTGTCATGCTGACCAGACCATCTACTCGAATTGGGTGTCCCATGACACGGATACACACAGCCCCAGGGCGTGTCCACCCAGTCACGTGTCTCATAACTGCTGAACCGTATCCTACACTGCTCTGTCATCATACAGGGACGCACATACTCCCGGGGGGCGTGAGACAAACAAGCGGGGGCGTGTCGAGACGTCCATCCGGCTACACACAGCAGATGCGTGTCATACAGGACACACGCGGGGCGTGTCCATACACCAGACAGCTGGGCGGGCACACCGATACACAATCGTTCATACAGGACACGCGACAAACACAGGGGGGGCGTGTCATCATCAACAACACGCGATACACACTGCTGGCGGTCATCATACAGGACACGCGCAGCGGGGGCGCTGTCATACAGGACACGCGATACACACAGCGGGGGCGTGTCATACAGGACACGCGATACACACATCCAGGACAGTGATACACACTGCGGGGGGCGTGTCATCATACAGGACACACGATACACAGCGGGGCCCGTGTCATACAGGACACGCGATACACAGCGGGGGGTGTCATACAGGACACGCGATACACACAGCGGGGCCGTGTCATACAGGCGCGTTCACACACCGGGGGGCGTGTCATACAGGACACCGTTCTACACACAGCGGGGGCGTGTACATACAGGACGCGAATACCCACCCGAGCGGACGGCGTGTCATAACAGGACACGCGACACAGCGTGACATACAGGACACGCGATACAACAGCTCGGGGGCGTGTGCATCAGGACACGCGGATACAGGACACGCTGGACACACACAAGCGGGGGCGTGTCATACAGGACACCGTGTCATCCAGGACACGCTGGGGGGGGGGGCGTGATACACGCACATACACACTGCGGGGGCGTGTCATACAGGACACGCGATACAGCGGGGGCGTGTCATCACAGGACACATCCGGCGGGGCGTGTCATACAGGACACGCGATACACACAGCGGGGGCGTGGGGCGCGGGGCGTGTCATACAGGACACGCGATACACACACGGGGGGGCGTGTCATACAGGACAGGTACACACAGCGGGGGCGTCATCATACAGGACACACGATACACACACAGCGGGGGCGTGTCATACAGGACACGCGATACACACAGCGGGGGCGTGTCATACAGGACACGCGATACACACAGGGGGGCGTGTCATCATACAGGACACGCGATACACACAGCGGGGGGCGTGTCATCATACAGGACACGCGATACACACAGCGGGGGCGTGTCATACAGGACACGCGATACACACAGCGGGGGCGTGACAGGACACGCGATACACACAGCGGGGGCGTGCATCATACAGGACACACGATACACACAGCGGGGGCGTGTCATCACACGCGATATACACATCAAACAGGCGATACACACAGCGGGGCGTGTCATCATACAGGACACGCGATACACACAGCGGGGGCGTGTCATCATACAGGACACGCGATACACACAGCGGGGGGCGTGTCAACACAGGACACGCGATACACACAGCGGGGGCGTGTCATCATACAGGACACACACGATACACACAGCGGGGGCGTGTCATCATACAGGACACGCGATACACACAGCGGGGGGGGGGCGTGTCATCATACAGGACACGCGATACACACAGCGGGGGCGTGTCATCATACAGGGACACACGATACACACAGGGGGGGGCGTGTCATCATACAGGACACGCGATACACACAGCGGGGGCGTGTCATACAGGACACGCGATACACACAGCGGGGGCGTGTCATACAGGACACGCGATACACACAGCGGGGGCGTGTCATCATACAGGACAGCGATACACACAGCGGGGGCGTGTCATCATACAGGACACACGATACACACAGCGGGGGCGTGTCATCATACAGGACACACGATACACACAGCGGGGGCGTGTCATCCAGGACACACGATACACACAGCGGGGGCGTGTCATCATACAGGACACACGATACACACAGCAGCGGGGGCGTGTCATCATACAGGACATACGATACACACAGCGGGGGCGTGTCATCATACAGGACACACGATACACACAGCGGGGGCGTGTCATCATACAGGACACACGCGATACACACAGCGGGGGCGTGTCATCATACAGGACACGCGATACACACAGCGGGGGCGTGTCATCATACAGGACACGCGATACACACAGCGGGGGCGTGTCATCATACAGGACACACGATACACACAGCGGGGGGCGTGTCATCATACAGGACACGCGATACACACAGCGGGGGGGTGTCATCATACAGGACACACGATACACACAGCGGGGGGCGTGTCATCATACAGGACACACGATACACACAGCGGGGGCGTGTCATCATACAGGACACACGATACACACAGCGGGGGCGTGCATCATACAGGACACGCGATACACACAGCGGGGGCGTACAGGCATCATACAGGACACATGATACACACAGCGGGGGCGTGTGGCATCATACAGGACACACGATACACACAGCGGGGGGGTGTGGCATCATACAGGACACGATACACACAGCGGGGGCGTGTCATCATACAGGACACACGATACACACAGCGGGGGCGTGTCATCATACAGGACACACGATACACACAGCGGGGGCGTGTCATCATACAGGACACACGATACACACAGCGGGGGGCGTGTCATCCAGGACACGCGATACACACAGCGGGGGGGTGTGGCATCATACAGGACACACGATACACACAGCGGGGGCGTGTCATCATACAGGACACACGATACACACAGCGGGAGCGTGTCATCATACAGGACACATGATACACACAGCGGGGGCGTGTCATCATACAGGACACATGATACACACAGCGGGGGCGTGGCATCATACAGGACACACGATACACACAGCGGGGGCGTGGCATCATACAGGACACACGATACACACAGCGGGGGTGTGGCATCATACAGGACACGATACGCACAGCGGGGGCGTGGCATCATACAGGACACGATACGCACAGCGGGGGCGTGGCATCATACAGGACACACGATACACACAGCGGGGGCGTGGCATCATACAGGACACACGATACACACAGCGGGGGGCGTGGCATCATACAGGACACACGATACACACAGCGTGGGCGTGGCATCATACAGGACACATGATACACACAGCGGGGGGCGTGGCATCATACAGGACACACGATACAACACAGCAGGGGCGTGTCATACAGGACACACGATACACACAGCGGGGGCGTGTCATCATACAGGACACGTGATACACACAGTGGGGGCGTGGCATCATAGAACATATGGTGTTATCTGTCCAATGAGAGGAGTCTATACATCATAATAAAGGTGGGATTGGTGATTGGCAGATGAGATTCCAGAATATTTCCTCCACTCACCAAACTGGTGCCGGACTCATCCTGAGCGTTCACCTCGGCCCCCCCGACTCCACCAGATGCTGAATGTCGCTCATCATTCTTCTCTCAGTGGCGGCACGTGACTCCTCGATCTTCTCCTGAGTGATTCCTGAAGAGAAACAATGAGAGGCGGGCAGAACGTGGGAGCAGAACGTGGGAGCAGAACAAGGAGAAGAACGTGAGAGCAGAACGTGGGAGCAGAATGTAGAACGTGGGAGCAGAACGTGGGAGCAGAACGTGGGAGCAGAACGTGGGAGCAGAACGTGGGAGCAGAACGTGGGAGCAGAACGTAGGAGCAGAATGTAGGAGCAGAAAAGGAGAAGAAAGAACGAGAGAGCAGAACGTGGGAGCAGAATGTAGAACGTGGGAGCAGAACGTGGGAGCAGAATGTAGAACGTGGGAGCAGAATGTAGAACGTGGGAGCAGAATGTAGAACGTGGGAGCACAACGTGGGAGCAGAATGTAGAACGTGGGAGCACAACGTGGGAGCAGAATGTAGAACGTGGGAGCACAACGTGGGAGCAGAATGTAGAACGTGGGAGCACAACGTGGGAGCAGAATGTAGAACGTGGGAGCACAACGTGGGAGCACAACGTGGGAGTAGAACATGGGAGCAGATCCTAGAAGTAGAACGTGGGAGCAGAATGTAGGAGTAGAACGTAGAAGTAGCACGTGGGAGCAGAATTCAGGAGCAGAATGTTGGAGAACGTGGGATAGGATGTAGGAGTAGAACGTGGGAGCAGAATTTTGGAGAACGTGGGAGTAGGATGTAGGAGCAGAATGGGGGAGTTGATGGCGGTATATCTCACCCTCCTGGATCGCCCCGTAATCGTGGTCCCTCGGTGGCCGCCCTTATCACCCCATTATTTTATTCCTTCACTGATGAAGGTCATTGGAGCGTTCCACTGACCACATTTTCCTTCCTGAATTCCAGGACAATGGCAGTTTCTTCCATTATTCTGGAGCCACTCTGCAATTTGGGGGGTGAAGTCTGACCAGCCATTGGCCCTCCCATGGTTTCTGCTCAGAGAAGATACAGCCGTGGGACTGGGACACTAACCTTGCTCCGCCATGGCGGTCTCGATGTGGTCCAGTGTGACATCATCCTCACAGAGGTCATAGGGCATATTCCCATCAGAGTTCACAGCCAGGAGGTTGGCATTGCTGAGGAAGAAGTATAGACAATGAATCCACCTGACCCCCATCATCCACACGTGGCCCCATACCTGACCCCTCCAAGGCTCATCACTCGTACGTGGCCTCACACCTGAGCCCCATCCTCCACCACTCATCACCTGTACGTGGCATCACACCTGACCCCCATCCTCCACCACTCATCACCTGTACGTGGCCTCACACCTGACCCCCATCCTCCACCACTCATCACCCGTACGTGGCATCACACCTGACCCCCATCCTCCACCACTCATCACCCGTACGTGGCATCACACCTGACCCCCATCCTCCACCACTCATCACCCGTACGTGGCATCACACCTGACCCCCATCCTCCACCACTCATCACCCGTACGTGGCATCACACCTGACCCCCATCCTCCACCACTCATCACCTGTACGTGGCATCACACCTGACCCCCATCCTCCACCACTCATCACCCGTACGTGGCATCACACCTGACCCCCATCCTCCACCACTCATCACCTGTACGTGGCATCACACCTGACCCCCATCCTCCACCACTCATCACCTGTACGTGGCATCACACCTGACCCCCATCCTCTACCACTCATCACCTGTACGTGGCATCACACCTGACCCCCATCCTCCACCACTCATCACCTGTACGTGGCATCACACCTGACCCCCATCCTCCACCACTCATCACCTGTATGTGGCCTCACACCTGACCCCCATCCTCCACCACTCATCACCTGTATGTGGCCTCACACCTGAGCCCCATCCTCCACCACTCATCACCTGTACGTGGCATCACACCTGACCCCCATCCTCCACCACTCATCACCCGTACGTGGCCTCACACCTGACCCCCATCCTCCACCACTCATCACCCGTACGTGGCATCACACCTGACCCCCATCCTCCACCACTCATCACCCGTACGTGGCATCACACCTGACCCCCATCCTCCACCACTCATCACCCGTACGTGGCATCACACCTGACCCCCATCCTCCACCACTCATCACCCGTACGTGGCATCACACCTGACCCCCATCCTCCACCACTCATCACCCGTACGTGGCATCACACCTGACCCCCATCCTCCACCACTCATCACCTGTACGTGGCATCACACCTGACCCCCATCCTCCACCACTCATCACCTGTACGTGGCCTCACACCTGACCCCCATCCTCTACCACTCATCACCTGTACGTGGCATCACACCTGACCCCCATCCTCCACCACTCATCACCTGTACGTGGCATCACACCTGACCCCCATCCTCCACCACTCATCACCTGTATGTGGCCTCACACCTGACCCCCATCCTCCACCACTCATCACCTGTATGTGGCCTCACACCTGACCCCCCCATCCTCCACCACTCATCACCTGTATGTGGCCTCACACCTGACCCCCATCCTCTACCACTCATCACCTGTACGTGGCAGCAAGGGCTGGACTTGCACCCTCCCCTCCAATGGTCATGTGATGTATTTTAGACTTCCCAGCCTCCACTGTGCACAGACCACACCCACTCCTCATACACACTGCACCCCTCCCCCTCTTACTGTTTGATGAGAAGTTCCACCAGGTGGAGGTGTCCACACGTGGCCGCGGCATGCAGAGGAGTCCACAGCTCACTGTCACAGGCGTTCACATCGGCCCCGCCCCCGACCAGCAACCCCACCATCTCCGCAAAGTCATCGATACAGCACTGGGGAGGAGACACAGCGTTCAACTCCGCCCACTGCCACAGTCCCTCCGCCCCCAGAGTCCCTCCTCCCGCCCCCAGAGTCCCTCCTCCCGCCCCCAGAGTCCCTCCTCCCGCCCCCAGAGTCCCTCCTCCCGCCCCCAGAGTCCCTCCATCAGAGTCCGATTCCTCCACAGCCCCATGTGACATGTATCGGTGGTGTCTGTGGGCGGCTCACATGACCCTCTCTGTGGTGACAACACTTTCAATTTTGTGCCGCCTCTTAGAAGCCGTGACACCAATACCACCCCCTTATCTCCCATCTCTCCCTGCATACCTACCTGGTGCAGCGTCCCCGGGGGTCACCTACATGGTGCAGCGTCCCCGGGGTCACCTACATGGTGCAGCGTCCCCGGGGTCACCTACCTGGTGCAATGTCCCGGGGGTCACCTACATGGTGCAATGTCCCCGGGGGTCACCTACATGGTGCAATGTCCCCGGGGGTCACCTACATGGTGCAATGTCCCCGGGGGTCACCTACCTGGTGCAATGTCCCCGGGGGTCACCTACATGGTGCAATGTCCCGGGGGTCACCTACCTGGTGCAATGTCCCCGGGGGTCACCTACCTGGTGCAATGTCCCGGGGGGTCACCTACATGGTGCAATGTCCCCGGGGGTCACCTACATGGTGCAATGTCCCCGGGGGTCACCTACATGGTGCAATGTCCCGGGGGTCACCTACCTGGTGCAATGATGTCCCCGGGGGTCACCTACATGGTGCAATGTCCCCGGGGGTCACCTACCTGGTGCAATGTCCCCGGGGGTCACCTACCTGGTGCAATGTCCCCGGGGGTCACCTACATGGTGCAATGTCCCCGGGGGTCACCTACCTGGGGCAATGTCCCCAGGAATCACCTACCTGGTGCAATGTCCCCGGGGGTCACCTACCTGGTGCAATGTCCCCGGGGGTCACCTACCTGGTGCAATGTCCCCGGGGTCACCTACCTGGTGCAATGTCCCCGGGGTCACCTACCTGGTGCAATGTCCCCGGGGTCACCTACCTGGTGCAATGTCCCCGGGGTCACCTACCTGGTGCAACGTCCCCGGGGTCACCTACCTGGTGCAACGTCCCCGGGGTCACCTACCTGGTGCAACGTCCCCGGGGTCACCTACCTGGTGCAACGTCCCCGGGGTCACCTACCTGGTGCAATGTCCCCGGGGGTCACCTACATGGTGCAATGTCCCCGGGGTCACCTACCTGGTGCAATGTCCCCGGGGTCACCTACCTGGTGCAATGTCCCCGGGGTCACCTACCTGGTGCAATGTCCCCGGGGTCACCTACCTGGTGCAATGTCCCCGGGGTCACCTACCTGGTGCAATGTCCCCGGGGTCACCTACCTGGTGCAATGTCCCCGGGGTCACCTACCTGGTGCAACGTCCCCGGGGTCACCTACCTGGTGCAACGTCCCCGGGGTCACCTACCTGGTGCAACGTCCCCGGGGAATCACCTACCTGGTGCAATGTCCCCGGGGAATCACCTACCTGGTGCAATGTCCCCGGGGTCACCTACCTGGTGCAGCGTCCCCGGGGTCACCTACATGGTGCAGCGTCCCCGGGGTCACCTACATGGTGCAGCGTCCCCGGGGTCACCTACATGGTGCAGCGTCCCCGGGGTCACCTACATGGTGCAATGTCCCCGGGGGTCACCTACCTGGTGCAATGTCCCCGGGGGTCACCTACATGGTGCAATGTCCCCGGGGGTCACCTACATGGTGCAATGTCCCCGGGGGTCACCTACATGGTGCAATGTCCCCGGGGGTCACCTACCTGGTGCAATGTCCCCGGGGGTCACCTACCTGGTGCAATGTCCCCGGGGGGGTCACCTACCTGGTGCAATGTCCCCGGGGGTCACCTACCTGGTGCAATGTCCCGGGGGGTCACCTACCTGGTGCAATGTCCCCGGGGGTCACCTACCTGGTGCAATGTCCCTGGGGTCACCTACCTGGTGCAATGTCCCCGGGGGTCACCTACATGGTGCAATGTCCCCGGGGGTCACCTACCTGGGGCAATGTCCCCAGGAATCACCTACCTGGTGCAATGTCCCCGGGGGTCACCTACCTGGTGCAATGTCCCCGGGGGTCACCTACCTGGGGCAATGTACCCGGGGGTCACCTACCTGGGGCAATGTCCCCGGGGTCACCTACCTGGTGCAATGTCCCCGGGGTCACCTACCTGGTGCAATGTCCCCGGGGTCACCTACCTGGTGCAATGTCCCCGGGGTCACCTACCTGGTGCAATGTCCCCGGGGTCACCTACCTGGTGCAATGTCCCCGGGGTCACCTACCTGGTGCAACGTCCCCGGGGTCACCTACCTGGTGCAAACGTCCCCGGGGTCACCTACCTGGTGCAATGTCCCCGGGGAATCACCTACCTGGTGCAATGTCCCCGGGGTCACCTACCTGGTGCAATGTCCCCGGGGTCACCTACCTGGTGCAATGTCCCCGGGGTCACCTACCTGGTG